AGTGACAGGAGCTGTAGAACATGTCCAAAAAAAGGATTTGGATGCACAAAAAGCAGAGCGATACTGATACTGAATTTATTTTTATTACAGATTATAGTTTACAATCAATAAACATGTCTTTGCCACACAGGTTTAAAAGGTCGCCAAGGCCAGGAATCGAACCTGCGACAGCTGTGCCGAGGACTAAGGCCTCCATATGTGGGTTGTGCTTAACCCCTGTGCCGTGTAGTTATGTTATAACTTATATGCACACCATCTAGTGGTGGCAAAAGCAATAAAAAAAAAACTACCATGCTCTGGACTTAAGATGGAGTACATGGCATGCATACATATTCATGACATGTTTGATTAAACTAATTTATGTTCGGTGTAATTCCAGTACTGAAATTACAGTACTGGAATGTGGTACTAACCCACACCCAGGTTAGTACCACCTGGGTGTGGGTCGGTGTAAAGGCCGAGCCGGGCTTAGATTGGTCTCAGTCTCTTTCACCTGAGAATGTGAACCTGTACTGGGCTGATTCTGTGCCTTCAAATAATTTAAACAGCTCCTAGATAAGATTCATAACTTAAAACTTATAAGTCTGAAATAGGAACAGGTCTGAATAAAAACAGTGTGTGTGCTACACTCAAGAGAGATTCATTTGATGCATCAAAGAGTGATGTCATCACTGATGATGTAATTGTTACCATAGGAACTGAACATTCTAATGGTGCATTCACACCCAACACGTTTTGAGCGTCAGGCGACTCTGGTTTATATTCAAAATCTATGTGAAGCGTTCAACGCTGCGCTAGACGCTCCAAACGCGCCGCATCGTCCCTCGACGCATTGAATGTAAACCAGATGTGCCTGATGCTCAAAATGTGTTTGGTGCGAACGCACCATATATACAGTGTCATATTATGTCCATCATAATAGGATCAAGACCTGGTCCTAGTATGATGGATTCATTGCTTTACATGGATTCATTGCTTTACATACCACTTTACATTTAGAGGTAAAGTGTGAATTAAGTTTTAGTTAATTAGGAATAGACTAGTATTGGTTAGGGTTAGGAAAAATCGCAGCTACTAAAATGAAGGGAAATCAATGCAAAGCTCTAATATGGGTCGAAATAGATTTGACAAGTATAGGATTTTGTTTTCTAAATCATTCTATAAATATACAATTATGATATAAGGTTAGGTTGTATTTCTGCCAATTGCATAGCTGCAGTACATTAGTAGTCTAATGTGTTGAATGTGCTGAGACATATTCAATGCATCAGAAACCAATCAGAACCAAAAGTTTGCCTTTTGGTTCTGATTGGTTGTTTCTGGACAGTTTTAATGTTTATTTTGGGGATTTTAACTCTGAAATTGATCTTGTTTTCTCCATTGATTTTGGAGTCAGTAATTTTATGTGTCTGTGTCTGTTTTGATTTCCTAAATTTGTGTAAAGCAGGGGTGCTCAAAGTCGGGCCTCAAGGACCGACTTTGCGCACCCCTGGAGTAAAGGAATGAATTTACAAGAATGCCCAGTGTTGGCAAAACCTGGGTTTGGATAGTGACCTAGGTTAGTACCACCTGGGTGTGGGTCGGTGTAAAGGCCGAGCCGGGCTTAGATTGGTCTTCATGACATTACCAGCATGAAGGCCCTCCATGCAACCAGTGGAGGTTGGTCGCATGGACGTCTGTCTTTCTTCAGACCTCCGTGTTTGATAGATGGTCTGTCTTTCCTCGGACCTCCCTGGTTGATTGGAGGTCCGTCTTTCCTCGGACCTCCCTGGTTGATTGGAGGCCCATATTTCCTCGGACCTCTCTGGTTGATTCAAGGTCTGTCTTTCTTCAGACCTCCCTGGTTGATTGGAGGTCTGTCGTTCCTTGGACCTCCCTGGTTGATTGGAGGTCCATCTTTCCTCGGACCTCCCTGGTTGATTGGAGGTCCATCTTTCTTTCTTCGGACCTCCGTGGTTGATTGAAGGTCCATCTTTCTTTCTTCGGACCTCCCTGGTTGATAGGAGGTCCACCTTTCTTCGGACCTCCCTGGTTGATTGGAGGTCCACCTTTCATCGGACCTCCCTGGTTGATTGGAGGTCCATCTTTCCTCGGACCTCCCTGGTTGAGTGAAGGTCCATCTTTCTTCTGACCTCCCTGGTTGAGTTAAGGTCTGTCTTTCCTCGGACCTCCCTGGTTGAATGGAGGTACGTCTTTCCTCGGACCTCACTGGTTGATTAGTCTGTTTTGATTTCCTAAATTTGTGTAAAGCAGGGGTGCTCAAAGTCGGGCCTCGAGGACCGACTTTGAGAACCCCAGGAGTAAAGGATTGAATTTACAATAATGCCCAGTGTTGGCAAAACCTGGGTTTGGATAGTGACCTAGGTTAGTACCACCTGGGTGTGGGTCGGTGTAAAGGCCGAGCCGAGCTTAGATTGGTCTTCATGCCAATGCCAACATGAAGGCCCTCCATGCAACCAGTTGAGGTTGGTCGCATGGACGTCTGTCTTTTGTCAGACCTCTGTGTTTGATAGATGGTCTGTCTTTCCTCGGACCTCCCTGGTTGATTGGAGGTCCGTCTTTCCTCGGACCTCCCTGGTTGATTGAAGGTCCGTCTTTCCTCGGACCTCCCTGGTTGATTGGAGGTCCGTCTTTCCTCGGACCTCCCTGGTTGATTGAAGGTCCGTCTTTCCTCGGACCTCCCTTGTTGATTGAAGGTCCGTCTTTCCTCGGACCTCCCTGGTTGATTGGATGTCTGTCTATCCTTGGTCTCCTCTATTTGTAGGGAGCCTTCCGTTTGCAAGCTGGATGTGGGTCGGCGCAAAGGCCGAGTCAGGCTATGCATAGAGACCCCTTGCTGATTGAAAGTCTGCCTTTGCTTGGGCTCCTCTGCTTGCAGGGGGGTCTTTGGTTGGGTGGAGACTCTAGGATGGATATTTTCTAGAGCAAGTTTTAACTCCACCTTAAGGTCTGCAACCTGACCCTGGAGAGCTTTCATCGTTTCCTCCTGAGCCTTAAATTTGGAAGCTTGCTCAGAGTGATTTTTGAGCTGCTCCTCATATTTAAGTCTCACTTTGTATTCTTCAACCATTACTTCAATTAGGCCTTTATTGCGGGAAGCGTATTTTGCAGCCTCCCGCTTGAAGTACTCCAGCTGTTGAAGAGCACTCTTGTCAACTGTGACTTTGGAAGAGCAGGAAACCTTTGCAACATCTTTAATCTTTTTCTGGTGATGCTCTTTTTCCAACATCATTTGCAGTTTTTGAATCTCCTCCTGCTGGGATTTGACTTCAGCCTGACATACAATCCTTCGGTCTCTTTCCTCGTGGAGTTCAAAATTCTTTCTCTGCAACTCTGTTTTAAGATCGTCTACCTGCTTTGTCAGATCTTTGATGTGTTGGTTTGTCTCTTCCAAGTCTTCCACTGAGGGGGTAATCTCGAAGCCAGCAGAGGGTGTTGTTTTCTGCTCGTCTTCCAAAGATGTCTCAAAGTTGCCGGAAGGACTTGATTCCCCCTGGATCTCTGATAGATCTTCCGGCTCAATGGGGCTGACGCTGTCATCTTCAACAGGGAAAATGACAGCATCATAGTCGACTTGGATGTTGAGATCTACTATGTCGACCCATGAAAGCTTAGCTGGAAAAGCTTCATGTTTAAAAGCAGTCTGCTGTTGCTTCATGACTGGTAAATTCTCACTTCTCTGGATTCGATATCTAACAAGCTCTGAAGGGTGATCTGCCGCGATTGAACTGTGGAACAGGTCAGAGAAAACTCTGTCTGCGAGCCACATTCAAGAGAGCAATTCCCTTGTGATATCATAGAGTGATGACATCACTGCTGATGTAATTGATACCATTGGAACTGAACATTCTATCCACCTTATTCCTCGGAGGCTTACTGGGGAAACGATTATGGGTCTTTCTTCTGGCTCCCACTGGAAGCAGCAGTATTTAATGTAATTTGTAGGGGTTTTGGCTAATAAGTACAGTTTGTGGCTGCTTAGGTCAATAGTACCTGAATTCACAACTGATTTGCAGGTTGACAAACCAGTTGCACATATAATAAGGAAAACATTATTAGCTATTTTACCAGTCATACTTCAACGCTAATTTCATTATTTCTGCTGGTGCTTCATTTCAGGCATACCTTTAAAAACTTTTGTCAATAAATCAACAAGTAATGGCTGTTTATAGCAGTTGATGGCGAACGTAACATAGTTTGGCCGCTTCCTAAAAACAAATGATCTATTTTAGCATAGCATATCAATACTAAGTTGATAACAGCATCAGATCGATACTCGCATGGTGAGATAGTTTCAAAATTCTCTCCTTGAAATTTTATTTTATTTTAGGTATTCCAGCGTCCCAACTCTATCTAAATAAGATTTGGTTTCTCAAATTATAATTTTGTAGAGGCACACAAATATGTTTTGTTTTTCTGTTATTTCCGTTTATTATGCTATTAAAGTATTTTGCAGAGACCTACTTCCACATTTAGACTAAGGCTTTAACAAAACATTTTAAAGGAAAACCCACAAAAAACAGCTAACGGAATGAAAAAACTGTACTAATTCAATTTTTACTTAATTGATTCAGGAAATAAAGGACCATCCCATGTGGTGATTTTAACTCTTTGTTTACTTCCTGTTAAATTCTGAACTCGAAGCTCTACAGGATCACTATGCAAAAACTAATTTTTAGAATATACTTTCATTTGATCAAATTTGTGACGTGACTCCTGTGTTAATTAAGCGAAACCCATTGTGTCGGTTGATTTACTGTCGACCCATTGATTGTTCTATCTGTAAATCAAGCTGTGTGGGCATAAGGAGGTGGGCCCAAAGTAAAATTCTGCATGATTCCTTCCGAGATGCTCGGATTTTCCCCACATAGAGTCTAAAGATTTCCTGTACCCCAACTGGAATATGTTTTATGCCCATATAATGCAAAAATCCTATCATGCATGAAAGGGTTACAGGATATAAGCGCCAGCTTCGTCCTGGGTTACCCTCACACTCTTACCTGTAGCTGCTAGAAGTCGACATAACCTCCTTTATCTGTCTGTTGAGAGCGTCCGCTGCGGCTCTGCCTCTCCGCTGCTCTGCGCTCACCTCTGCGGGTCCCTCCGTCTTCTCTGCCGCTTTCCTCTCCGCGGACTTCTCCCTCCTCACTGCCTCCTTTGACTCCTTCTCTTGAATCTTCTCTTCGATTTCGCTCTTCTCCACGCCGCTCTCGCTCTCGCCAGCTGCTGCTGCCGCCGCCGCCGCGTGCTCCAGCTTGGAGCCGGCGGTGGGACTGGGCTTGGGGATCCACGGGTGGTCGTGCTTCCTCGGTATGGGCCAGGGCTTGTAATCCTTCTGATACTGAGTCTCGTTGCTGAACGGAGCCGGCGGCGGCTGATACTCGTTCCGGGGCTTGCAGCTGGGCTCGGGGCGCACTCTCCACGCCTTGAAGTCTTGGCGCATGACGGACGCAGCGGACGCGCCGTCTTTGGCCGCTGCGGCACCACCCGCCGCGGGCGGTGCCTTGGCGGCCTCTCGCTCCTCCGGATGCGGCTGGGTTTCTATGGCAATAGCCGCGGCCTTCTTCTGCCTGGGCTGCGGGTGGTGGGGCAGGTGCTGCACGTCGGCCACATCCGAGTATTTGGTGAAAACCAAAGGCACCGCGATGTCCGCCTTGTCCAGCTCGGTCCAAAAGCGGTTGATGCAGCAAGCGCGCGTGATGCACGGCCAGGCCATAACGCTCAACCTGAAGAGGAAGCTGACTGGAAAAGATGGGCAAGGGGAGGAACAGGCTCTATCCGTGGACAAACGCGCAGAGAGGAGGGAGGTAAATAATAATAATAATAAAAACGCGCGACGTTCGATGCAAAAGTCTCCAATTCTGCAGCTCCCCTTGAACAGATCGCCTCCCTCTGCAGGGTGCTCGGTCTTAGTGAAGTTTAAGACTTTGGGGCTAACCGTGGAGTGAGCATCGCTGTCTGGTTGCGCATCAAAGCGACCCCACCCCACATTTGTCTGATGCCCTGCGTGGTTGTACGGCGAAACATCACCTGAACTCAGTCTGCGTCCGTCCTGCACGGAGAGGGAGGAGATACAGTTAACCCTCCTGCTGCCATGTTACGACGTTCAAAAAGGAATATAACTTATTTAAATTAACGCTTACAGGCGACACAACACAAGAACACATTTAAATGAAGTTACAAATGAAAAGGTAGTGAATCACAAAGTGAAACGTGTATTCAGGGTTGTCACACCTCGGTTAACATAAAATTCAAGGACTTTCCAGATTTCATCACATTTAAATAGCACGCACGGCGGCATTTACCTGCTTCCGCTTAATATGTCATCAATAAATGACTTTAATACAATCTAAATTGAATTTACAAAGAACATGAAAAGCTTGTAGTTGTGTCAGAAAAGAATCAGTGAAAAGTGGATTTAATGTACAGCCTACATTCAAACAGTTACAAAATATTAGAAAATCCTCCCACTGGTCATTGAAATTCTTGAAACGTTGTGACGTTGAAAATATATATAAAAAATCAGAACCCTGGAAAGTTTATTTATTTATTTTTTGCAGAAATTCACAGAACTTAAGTATTGAGAGCATATATGCGCATGGAGAAACTTTTTTTCAGAAGGCAAATTTATGAAAAATATTGATCTCTTATTGACGTCCATAATCATCAAAATTAACTGAAAAAAACTTGAAAACATTTTTATTTTTCCTTTTTTAAAATTGAATGACATCCATCTTTAAATTATATTCTAATATACTGAGAAACATTTAAGATAATTTGTAATGTCGTACTTCTGGTAATGCCACCAGAAGTACATTACGTGACTCAGCAACTTTGATGCCTGACAATATGACCTCTGCTAGAAGTTGCTTGTCAACATTTATATTTAAAATGTAATTTTTTTTCTATATCTAACAATTTAATGACATTAACAACTTTGTGTAGCTAGTTTGTGTAGCTTGAGCTAGTTGGGACGTGACTGTTGCTGAGAAAGTTTAATGTCGACATAACTGTGCACCTAACAAACCAGGCAGTCGTGCTTTAATAGATTATTTTAATGGACAACTTTAATATTTCTGCAGGACTAAAAACATGGATTAATGACTTAAACATGGAAAAAAGGAACAGATTTCATGTTTTTACAGGGTGTTTAAGAAAAAAAATTAAAACATTTCTCTCAAAAATATACAAGAACAAAATCATGTTCAAAACACAAGTAGAAAAAAAAACAAGTGTCACATTTTGTTTAGACATATCCTGGCATAAAACGATAATTGAACATAGTATAGACGCACTTCCAACATACTTGCTCTTTAATAAGTGAAAGACTATTAAAAACCAGAATAAAGAAACACAGTAGGAGACAGATTACCAAACTTGCTGCTCCCATTTGATACCCGGATGAAGAACCTTTTTCTAAAAAAAAACTGAGCGATCTGCCTGCATCATATCATTTGATTTAGAAAAAAAAACAAACACAGAAGTTATCAGATCAATTACAAAAGTCACAAATATCAAAAGGCTAACTATAATAAAAATACAAAAAAACTAAGATTTAATTCATTTTATTACGGCGTCATTGCGTACAAGAACTCAAATGTCGTACTTTACTCAAAGTCTGTTGGAGAAACACGAAATATTTACACATCACACAATAAACACTTTCTATCATTTTTAGTTAAAAATCTCTCAAAAATGTAAGCTCCATAAACTGATAAAAAAAATAATAAAACATCCACTTCGCATTCGTTTGAATTTCGGAGTGAACTTTAACATAGTTACAATATGACAAGAATAGTTATATTAAAAAGAATATAAAGTTGAATTAAGAGAATAGTCGAATTGAGCGTAAAGTTGTCGTATCACGATAAGTTATACTACGTAAATAAACTCGTACGATAATAAAGTCAGTATTAAGAAAATTTTACAGGTTAAAGTCATAATCCCTAAAATTATAATTTTACAGATTATGACTGTGAAATCTCTGTAAAAACTTGAGATTTGTTGTGAATATTTTCTATTCTGCTTTCAAGTGAAAATGTTAATGGAATGCTTGTGTCGTCCAGAACTGCCTGCTGGCTCCGATGATCTTCTTTGTAACATCATTCTTATTGTTACGTATTGCATAGCACTGCGTGTTCCTGCTCATTCATGTACTTGTAAAGTCATTCTTGTAAAGTCATACTTTACAAAAGTAAAGTATGACTTTACTCTTGTATTATTTTTGATTTTATTATTGTACAACTTTATTTTTGTAATATTATGACTTAATTCTCATGACTTTATTCTAATTTTATCATCTTTGTTCTCATAGCATGGCCCTAATGCTCCATCATAGTAAAGTCATGCATCACCACCTTTAACTCTTTTATAGTAACTATTGTTGTAGCTACAGCTAGCGGGCTAAGAAGCAGCATATCTGTTAAAACAACCGACTGCAAGGCGTTAAGATGACAAATTTATTACAGATGCAGTAATAAGATAATATTCACCTTTTTTTTGTAGTTAAAACTGTGGTATTTTACTCAAAGATAACAAGTGAGAATTTGAGCCAAAGCTTCAGATCACTTTGGTCACAATAACGTCTTCGCCAACGTCCTCGGCCTCAGCCTCGGGGTCATCCTCGGGGTACAGCCGGCAGTATTTGTCCACCATGACATCCAGGTCGTGCTTGACATGGGTATTAATGTGGAGCATTGCCAGACTTTTGTTCAAATGCTTCGCGGGCACGCTGCCGAGGTACGCCTGCAGCCGCTCGGTGGCGGTTTCGCCCGTGCCTTTCTCGACTTTGAGCACTGGCATGGTGGACAGCACCTTGAGGAAGGCGTCCACGTTGGGGAAGAACTTGACGTCCGGCAACTGCAGGGTCTCGTGGATGGTAGTGGGCAAGCGCACCTCTTTCCCTCTGTGCTTCCATTTTATTCTCCAGCAGTGGAGCTCGGCAGGAAGCGTGTCCGGGTTCGGGAGGTCGCCGCTGTAGACCTCGGCAAAGTTCTCCTCCGTGGTGTTGAACTTCATGTGGCCCATGACGGCCGGAACCAGCGACAGGCACTTGAGAGCTCGGAGGTTGTTGTCGCAGAACATGTCCTCCACCTCCTGCATGATGCCACGGATCACGGGTATGGTCACGTACTCCTTGAAGTACGTCTCGGCCTGGATCTCGCCGAGGTCAGCCGCCCGCTGCTTCCGGAGGAAGAGTCTCGGGACGGACAGAGGGATCTGCATGAGGGCTGCCAAGCTGACGGCCTCGCTGTACCAGAACTCGTGGTACACGTCGATGTTGTCGTTGACCTCGTTGAGGGAGTACAGAACCGCTGTTAGGCTGTTTGCGGCGGAGAACACGTCGAGCGTTTCCCCCTGAAGGTTTCTCCCAAAGGCTCTGGTGAACGTCAGAACGTTCTTCAAGATGACGACGGTGACAATCACCTCAAAGTCCGCAATGCTTTCTCCGATGGAATACGCATCCGCGGTGACACAACTGGAAAACTTTCCGTCGGCATTGTCCCGAATGCTGTCCATGCACAGCAGGAGTGAAGGCAATATATCCAGCAGCACGTCAAAGATGTTGTGTTGCTCCGTCCATCCGGAGGAGCACATCTTTTTGAGAGCATTTCCTTTCTCCTCGTTCTTCTGGAACTGAATGGAGATGGCCTTGTCCAGCTCATCCTGAGTGTGTGGGGTTTTAAAGAAGGACGTAATCCTCCTCAGATTCTCCATGACGATCTGCACGTTGGGGAAAGGCAGGTTGTTGGCGAGGTGGATGTTCAGCGCCATATGCGAGCAAGGCATGTGAAGCGCAAGAGGGTACTTCTCCATAAGCAGTACGGCCACGGCTTTCATCTTAGTGGTGGAGGTCCCGGTGGCCTTGTGGGCCTGACCACGGCAGTCCTCCATGCTGAGTCCCCAGCGGTCCACCAGGAGAGCCTCCAGGCTTTCCACCAGCGCCGCCTCGTCTCCGTCCACGAATGGGAGGAAGTCCACGAACTCCTCTCTGAGGACGTTCTGCTGGTTGACGAAGCGGAGGAACACGGGCAAGTGTTTGCTGTTGGCGAATTCGACCAGGTCGCCCGTCACCAGGGAGTAGAAACGACTCTCCCTCACCTCCATGAGCATCTCCTCCCTCACCGTGTTCTCACAAACATCAAGGAGCTGATTCAGCTGGGCAGCGCTGAGGTACTCGCTGTTCACCGCAGTCACCTCGAATCTCTTCCTCAGAGCTTCGTCTCCGGCATTCATACAGTAATCTATGACGGCCTGGAAGTTGTTGGACTTGAGTTCTTCTTCGGATACTCTGCCGGTGGTCAAAGGGATTGCTTGTTTTGCCAGCATGAACAGAATCTCAAACAAAGACCTCAAATAATCCCGGTACTCTTTCTCGTCGGCCGAAAGCTGAGGCTCGTTGTCGGCAATGTTTGACAGATCCTCTTTTTTGATGGTCTGCTCAGCAGAAGCCACTGAGGAAAGAGACATAAGTGAATTACATTTGTTTATTATCAACTTGATGTATTTCTAATATCGCATAAAAAAGGTTTAAGAGGTTAAATGAAAAATCAACAGAATGTGCCGTTTTATTTATTCGATTAACTGTCAAAATAATCGATTCCAGTCACCAGTCAATTTTTTCATGCATAAATAAGTCAACACAAAAGTACCTATAAACGGTTCTCCAAATACTTACATCGTCTCTCTTTAATCCTCTGTATATCTTCATCAGTCTAGGGAAAATTAAGAAACTGGGATTAACTCACAAAAAATAAAAAATAGCCAAGTTAGCTAAATTATTAAACAAGATTTTTCTTTACAAGTTCTTTTATCTGCTTGCGATGCCTGGTGTAAGGGTTTTTCAGATGGCTTGTCAAATCAAAAATGGTTGGGATGGCCGTGTCCTTCAAGACCGTCCTATAGGGGCTCTGAGATGAAAAACAATCAAATAAGATTATACAAATACAGAATTACACAGATGTAGATTTGTCACACAAGTGCTAAAACACAGATGGCGTCGACACTCACAGTTTTGCACACCATGGCAGGGTCAAAGTGTTTGGCACATAATCTGTAGTGCTTATTCAACTGGTCGGCTGTTTTGGCTTCGAGATCCGCCCTACGGCAATTCTCCACCCAGATTCTGCATCTAGAAACAAAAATACACAATAGGTTTCTACAACATGACATTTTACTTTAAGTTTCGATAATGTAGTCACACTCTCCCAAGTAAAAGTGTTTATAATATTTTTTTTAAATATAGATCTTTCAGACTATTATGATTGTAAGAACGACATTCCAAATATTTTTGTGGAAAGAAAAAATGTTCTCTTAATTTTTCTCCTCCAGTGGAAACTTGACCTCTCCAATGTTTATAATAAAATGCCATTAAATCTGTTTTATAGCAAGAAACTGTACAATTATATGTAAATACAAATGTATGTTTTGGGTGAATGTTTTAGCAAATGAGTCTAATTTAGGATAACTTCTAAAGTAGAATTAGTTTTTCCTTCTCCTGACCAACATAGAAGCTAAGTCTGAAGTTCTATGCTAAAGTATTTCAGAACCAACAAGGATTTAGGAATTTCATTTAAGTGCTTTCCAGATCTAAATAAGTTTTAAAACAGAACATCAGGAAAAATATGTACAACTAGGTTGTATTTCCTGTCCCATTTTCAAAATCCACTCATCAATCCATTTTTCACTCCATTCATTTCTTCAACTATCTGCTTCTCCAGCACTCAATTGATCCTCCCTCCATTCATTTGCCTGTCCAATCCATCCCCCAAGTCTGTTGTTTGTCACGATTTCCTATCTAATGGCTGACCTCTGTAACAATATCAGCATTAAACTTTTATATTTACATTTTAAATGCAACTTGGGGGATTTTGTTTTGCAAAAAGAATAGAATTTTGACATAAAAAACGGCCAGAGTACCCAAAGAGTAGTGGGACTACTTCACCATAGTTTTACTCAATTAAAAGTAACAAGAAATTATTAATATTCGGGATAAAAGCTACTCAAGGACAGAATAAGTGATTTCATTTAATATGTATTACTTACGTAATCAGACAGACATGTATTTTAATGTCTAAAGTTTAAACCTCTAAAAGAATGTGGTCGTAGGTAAAACATTACTTTTCGTTAACATGAGCTCAACATACACAAAACAAAGAACTCTTGTAAAGTTAGCGGGACTTTAAGAAATACTTTAAGATCGTCTTTGTGTGCGATGCGTTTTATGTTCATTTACCTCTCAGGGTCTCGAGGAAAACGAAAAAATGCCAAATCGGACTGTGTACTCTTCCGTGTGCAATTTGGAGCCGCGCAAAAATTCGGCATGTTTCAGTCTGGCAAGTTAGCTAAGCTAACTTCGCTGGCTAATGTCCTCTGATAGCTTGATATCCTTTCAAGAAGCCAAGTCCACCGGTGTGATTCTCAAATCAAAGCCGGACTATGATTTTGGCAAAGAAATGTCTCATAAACATCTCAAAAACAGATCAACAATCCAAAAAACCGCCACACAAACAACAGTTACATTTGGACTCATGCTACTTCATTTTGCGGCGCCATGTCCCGCCCACGACGAATGTAATTGGAAGAATGGAGAACCATTTATGTAACTATTGGTCAATCGAATAATCAGATAGGCCAATGGAATTTCAGCCAGGCATTTTTTTCTTCTTTATTCTATCTGACGTAGTTACCTTAACTTCCTACAGCACTCTGCTGCCACCCACAGGCATTTGATAAGAGCAGATAAAACACAGGCCGTCTGTGCGTCTGCCATATTGTGAGTGGTGTGTTCTTCTTGGAGTCCAAAAAGAAGCATGCTTTGAAATTAGGTTTTCTCAATAAAACATAACAAAAGTTTACCTTTAACTAACAGCTTAACTATTTAACTAGAAATAGTTTTAACACATAGTAGTTAAGAGACAATAATTGAGATTACTGTGCCAAAAACACAATATCTTAATTTTTTTATCGTTAAATCAAGATAAGACACGGTTTTTTATTATTTGTCTAACATGCAAACAATCAGTGCTTTGTAAGCAAGATTTTAATGCAGTTCATGTTGTCCAAAGTGCTATACAGGAGATCTTAAAACAATTTGAAAAATATTCTTGTTGGCTGCAAAAACCTACACGAGCATTTACAGTCAACAGAATGTTAAAATTAATTCTGAATTGAACTACAAAAATCCTGAGGGTGATGTGGTCATATTTTTAGGTACAGCAGAATTTTTGTGTACCTAACCTAAAAACCTAATGTAGGGAATATCTGTGTTTTAATGATACTTAATTAGTGCAAGCTGTGCACACCTGTGTCAGTCAGTTTAACCTAATATAAATCTCAATCCAGAACAACTTTAGTGTCAGAAGAAGACCATTTATTTTTATCCATATCGATATATTTAACTTTCTGTTGATGTTTCAGAGGGAGAGCATCCACAGAGCAAAAATGACTGACCCCCAAGTTGACCCATGTGATACACCGCTGGATAGGCAATGGGGAAAAAATCTTTCCACTTTCAGAAAATGTCCTGTTGCAGAGATATGTGGTTCCAATCTATTGAAAGGAGACGACACAGTCACAACGCTTAACTTAAAATATTTTGAAGAAAGCTGCTTTGCACAACTCTGTGCATGCGTTTTAAGAAAAATGCCAATCACAATATGGCGATGACGTTTACGTGGAAGTCGGATGTTCATTTGGCTTTGTTGTTTATTCTTTCGTGTTTTTGAACGTAAAATTTTAAGCATGAAATATGTAAAGTTAAATACCATTGAAAAGTCGATGTTTTGGGGCTATAAGTATTTATTTGTAATTCTCCCCAGCTGTTGAAGCAACTTCATAGTTTATGCAGCTTTATTGTAATTATACGTGCTTATTATAACAACATTACAAAGAAAAACGTTGTCAAAAGATATCAGAAAACCACGAAATTTCCGACGCACAAGGCCCCTGTTGAAGTTCTTACTGTGAGAGCGGTGTTTCGACGGCTCGTTGGTCTAGGGGTATGATTCTCGCTTAGGGTGCGAGAGGTCCCGGGTTCAAATCCCGGACGAGCCCTCGTTTTATTGTTTTAGTTTTCCTTTATCATTCGTTTTTCAAGTTCAGTAACGTTAAGTATAAACGACACACTCTTTCTCTCCGTCACAGGACTACGTGTCCTGTATACGCAATAAACAATGCTTCACCATTCACATTATTAAAGAGCTAGAAATCCAATTACCTATTCAAAATTTGTGAAAGCTGCACCTTTCTTTAAAATTGCAAATTTCAGCCAAAATACATAGGGCTCGTCCGGGATTTGAACCCGGGACCTCTCGCACCCGAAGCGAGAATCATACCCCTAGACCAACGAGCCACGGCGTCATCAACAACGCAACATCGCAACATATCATTAAATATTTACTGAAGGAATATCGATATCCGTTTTTGTTCATACTACAACCTTTTCATGGATCGTCTATATGTGCGTTTTTTCGGTATGGCTTTTATTTAATGCAGCAGCGGTGTTAATGATGGAAAGAAAAACAATGATGACACAAAGCGATTCAATTAACTTCTTTTATATATCATACATAAGACTGTCTTAATATAATACAAAGGGCATTGTCATAAACACAGCAAAGTCTTGACTAGATCTTACAATCTGTGGATACATGGACTTATCCTTTCCCCCATGCTGTTCAATTCTATAGTGCATGTTGCATGTACAAAAAAAGTGGGAAAAAAAGTGAAACCGAAAAAAATAAAATAAAATAAAATAAAATAAAAAAAAAGGAAAAAAAAAAAAAAAAAAGCTAAATCCAAGTTAAATAAAAAGGATTTCAACTTCGGTTGGGTGTTCAGATATGTCGACAATTATCTGTGTTTGTGTATAACCCACAAACTCAACAGGCTTATTATGAAAGATGGAACCATTTTTTTTCAACCATGTGCTTCTCATATAACCAAAAGTAAGGTTTGTGATGTACATGCACTTACAATATACCCTGTGAAAATTATTAAGGTTTGAAGATCTAGCTTTCCCTGTTTGATTCAAACCCTACCTCATAGTGTTGTCCTGATGTAGTCAAGTACCTTTGCCAAAAGGCAAGGTTTTGCCACTAAGAAAACAGGAGTTCCTGCCCACTGAATGGTCACCAAATTGACAAACATAATCAACATACCAGCAGGAGCAAGGTAGTGAGTTCTATACTTCCTTTATTAAAAAAATATAAATATATACATAAATTCTATTTCAACTATTAAAAAGGGGCTGCATTTCATGACAACTGCTCTAAATAAGAGGTCAATCAGCATGATCTGAAATAGGCGCACACTTACGAGTCACTTCAGTCAAATTTTTTTCTTTTTTCAGTCTTTATTTTTGGAATGTTTAGTACCAGTATGAGTGCCAGTAATAAAAACCACTGACAAAAGATCTAAATGTCTCAAATTCAGCGGGGTATGAAAATAAAAATAAAAATGAAATAAAACGATTGCAAATCTGCAATTAACCTTGACATCCAGATCAAACCCCAATCTTCAATATAGGTAGCTTTACATTTGTGTTCGTGGAAATACCAAGCATGACTGCTGAAAGGATGGTTTCTCTTAGAAAATAACAGCATGACCTGTGGCCCGCCCTTAATTGGCAAGGTGACAGTGGGCAGTTTTTTTTTATACGTTTGTTTTTATTTTTCAAATTTCAAAAGTGGTAAAAATGAACAACAGAAGAAAGAAAGCACTTTAAAATCCCTGATATAAAAAAAAAATATTCTTGTTATTGACTGTTTTGAGGACATGCATGTCTGCCTAGACAAAGCACTGTTATGGTGGGGCTGACAAGACACCTTTTTTTTCCCTTTGAATAGGACAACAATCATGGGGATTTGCCCTACCAAAATCAGAACTATACCATTCAACACAAACTGGTTTACCACAAATACCCTTACCCTGGCAAGACAATGACAAAGTCTTGCATCACAGCAGAAACTAGCTAAGTTGACCAAATGATGTATGAAAGGCAGCAACACCCTTTGAAATAGTATGATGGGGGGAAGGGGCAAAAAAAAACGAAAAAAAAAACAAAAAAAAAAAAAACACAGAAATAGAACGCATTAGTCTCCTTTTTTTTTTTTTAAACCATCAGCCTCTATCTTGCTACTCTGTAGCCTGCAGAGTAACTACCAAGTTCTCTAACATACCAAAGTTTTTTTTTCCTTTTTTTCTAAAGACTCCCAAAATAATCTACCAATTTAATATGGAAAAAAGTTTTGGTAAAACGTTGCAAACAAATCTGGCCAGAATACACAATAGCCAACGGTCTCCAGTTTTGCTAAAAGTAAATATATTGCAGCTGTTTTGTGTTGACATTAAAATAAGATCTCGATAAACTTTGCGTCAAAGTGGTGAACTGCTACATTATTGGTTACAGACACCTATATGCTATAAAACAACTGCTTTGGTATAAAAACATATCCAAAGGGAAAATAAATTCTTGTAAAATTCACAGCATAATTTGAGGAGAAAAAAGGCAGTCACTTAACTCTTTTTTTGTTGTTGTTGTTTTGTTTTCTTTTTTTTTTCTTTTTCTTCAGTTTCCATGTTTTGGATGGAGAGACTTGTGCAGGTGGTTCTGATGAGGGACTACATGCAAAAAGGGGGGGAAGGAAATTTTAAAAAAACAAACAAAAAAAAAAGAAAAAAAAAAAGAAAAGGTAGACTCTGGAATAGAAAGTTATTTCCATTGAAACATCCTTAACCAGTGAATTTCAAGGAAGTAATGTTTAGGAGGTTGTTGTGTACAATAAGACCCTGTTATGTGGGGCCCCTGCTGAAGACGAAATCTTTGTCGAGAAAGGCCTCAGATTACCATTCTTATTTACCTTTTCTAAGTTGTTTTAAATTTCCTTAAAGAATTAAGGGCTGTCTAGAGAAAGAAGAGAGAAGAGAGAGAGAGCGAGAGAGAGAGAGAGAAAAAAAAATAGAGAAAAGCCATCTTAATTCAAATGATAATGTCCAGCTCCATTTCCATTCCAAGTCCATGAGTCATAAGGCCAAAGGGTTATCTAGAACCAGCCACTGACTGTCTTCCTTTAACTGGGCCGGATCCTTTCGTCTCCTGTGCGTCGCTGCTCTTCGCCTGTGTCGGGACCCCGCGCCCCCCGGGTTGCGTCTTGTTGGGGACAACAGGGCCTCTAGGCCTGAGGTGGTGGGGTGGGGTCTGGGTCTGGGGGTGGTGGTGGTTGTTGTTGGGGGGGGGGGGGGGGGGGGGGGTGCTTCCCTCCTCCTTTTTTAACGCCGGCTGGTGTCAGTATCCGACCTCCCACTTCACTCCTCCCTCCCCCAAGCGGGAATCCCTTCCTTTTTCCCCCCACACCAGGCCAGCACACGCGTAGGGACTCCACTGCTATGTGCTCCCCTTTAACAGAGTCTCAAACACACACACACACACACACACACACACACACACACACACAGGGAAAAAAAAAAAAGACCAACAACAAGAAATATCACCGCAAAAACACTTCCCCCTTGTTGTCAAGCTACAGGACTTACAAGCAGCTTTTATGTGAAATTTCACTTTAAAAAAAAAAAAAAAAAAGGGCAAAATTAATTACTGACCGAGTGGAAGAGTAATGTCAGGCGCTCCACAGTTTGAACCTAAAAAGGACGCCAGAGCATTTCTTCACCAACAAGCTAGCTGAGAGACGAGCTCCGACCTTTGCTCCTGAAATGCTCCTTCAAAACAAAGACATTTTTTTGCCACATAATACCATATGGTGATTACTTTGTGGTTACATGAAACTGGTGAAATGGTAAGATGGATGTCTCAATCTCACTATGGTTATTCCGCAGTATTATTTTGTGCCTAATGATTGCAAAGGAAACAAAACAAAACAAAACAAACAAAAAAAAAGATAAAAATTACATATATACTTTTTAACAAAGGGTTTGTTGTTTTTTTCTCTGTAGTAGCGGTTCAGTGATATCTCCCTTCTGACGTGAGCAGCTTTTTGTTCTCAACACACCTTGTAGTAAAAAACACCACCTTTAAAAATGACGCACGGGGGGAAAGGAGGAGGGAAAGGAAAGAATAAAAAAAAGAAAAGAAAGAAAAAAAAAAACACACAGCCAAATTGTCAGTGCAGTCACGAACTGGCCATAGAACTCTGCTGCACACATACTCCAGTCATTGGAGACTCCTCCCGGTCCATGCCCTGCCTCATGCCCAGGTGGCCTTCCGCTAGGTAATGGCCAGGCCCCGTGTTCGTGCCCATGGAGAATGCAGGGTGCGCTGCCATTCCAGTCTCCTGCCGTGGGTTCGAGAAGGCACCTAGCCCCATGCTCAGCCCACCGTTCTGACCAAAGTCAAGGGCTCCGGCGGGCAAGTGGCGGAGCTGGTAGGCCTGGTTCCCATGGTTCCCAGTGGAAGAGGACGATGTCGAGGAAGAGGAGGCAGAGGAAGACAGGGAGGTCATGGACAGGTGGCCGTGCACCACCTCCATGGAGTCCTGCGTCGAAGAGCTGTGTGTCGGGGAGGTGTAGTGGCGCGGGCGCGGACGCGTCGCCATCATCTGCCCGTGGTGGTGGTGGAAATGGGAGTGGGGGTGCAGGGCCTTGGGGTGCTGGGGGGGAACGTGGAAGGTGGTCTCCTGAACTGGGTGGGTTTCTCCAGTGACTGACTCGGGTCCGACGCCGCCTCCCCACACCAGTGGGGGTGGGTAAGGCTGTCTTGCCTGTGAGTGGCAGGTGAGAGAGAGGAGTCAGTATCACACAACCTAAAGAGAACAACCCGAATCTACCTAGTTTCACCCACTCTGAAATCCAATAATGTCCAGGGTTTCCCCCAGAAAGCCTGCTAAGCCCAGTGGTAGGGGCAGTTCACCAGCAGCCAGCCGTATTTTTGTGTCAACATTTTTTTTTTTGAAAGTGACAAAAATTCAGAGGTGCACAAGCAGAAACCATAATTTAAAAACAATACCATGCAGACGCAGCGCACATTTGGTGCCCTTTGCCCCCACTATGAACTTAGCCTGATTCATCTTTGGGACAATGGTGGCGACTGTGGTGTGAGTTTGCCTTGTAATCGGCAGGTTGCTAGTTCAATCCTCACTCCACCCAGGTGTCCTTGCATGGCAGCTTTGTGGGGTGGCAAGTAAAGTCTGGCAGCCCACCAGGCTTATAATACATTGGGGGAAACCCTGAATGAGGTCATGTTCTATATCGTCACCTTCCTAAAACAATGTCCCAAATCACTTTTGGTAAGAAATGTCTTTCCAGTTAGGAAGGTGATGATGTTCTTCTATTCATTAAATTCAATTATTCTTCATTTTCATGTCTTTGAGTGTCCTAATGAAGCACTTTATCATTCTGATGTCATTTCATTTCTCCTAAGGAAATACTCCAAATTCCTAAACTATAATTTTTTGATTTGATCTGGGACACACAAGAGTCAACCGGTCCAAACTGGAATCAGACACAAAAGAACAGAAAAGGGCTCAGATTAAAAAGTTTGAAGATCCAACAGAAGTGAAGCATATTTTGACGTTTCCTGCCACAATTCAATAAAATACTTCACTACAAAAGAAAATAAATTTATATGACATGGTTTAATTTACATTGGCTTGTTTCAATAATTGAGAAATAGAAGTACAAAGTGACAAAATGGAAATGTGTAGGTATAAAATTGGCTACATGAGAAATGACCTGGAGCCTTTTTAAAAATTATTTTATGCATTTCAATGTTTCACCCTTATTAGATTACCATCTTTGCATTACGATGTCAATGAAGCAGAAATTTGTTTTTCCAGTTAACAAATTTGTTGCGTTAAAATAATTACATTTTAAAAGCTGCAAAACGTTTTTAGAATCATGTAAAACTTTATGAAGCAGTGCATGGTGGGTATTTTTGACATGGTAATCATTTTTTATTGGAACTGTCAACTGTAGTAAAGTGGAAAAAGCTTTTTTAAGCAAATGTTAAAATCTTTTGAATGAACCAAAACATTATAACATTTTACAATATGGCACCTATTATACCAATATTAAAACTTCTAATTCCAATATAGCAAGATTAGAAAACTTCATTTGAAAGAAGAAAAAAATCTTTCCGACTGACTAACTGACCTGTGGACAGAGGCTGTCACCATCCATGGCAGGCATGGTCGTGCCAAAGTGTCCTCCACTGTGCAAGTGGTGATGGGTAGGGTCTGATCTCGCTCTGCCACTGGTACTAGTTCCAGACGATCCTCCTGAGTGTAAACAACAAGTGTCACAAGCACATCTTCACCAGCCTCAACCATGTTCTCTGGCTATATCTTTAAAATACTGGATAAAGAAAACAGCAAGTAGCTAGAAGGACGATGCTGCAAACCTTAAATATGAATCTCATTCTAAGCAATAACTCTGAAGAATCTGAGTGAATATGAATCACAACAGCATTTAATTTCCCTATGGGATCAACAAAGTATTTCTGAATTCTTTTTTGTGCTACTTAAAAAAAAAAAAAAGAAAAAATTAAAAAAAAGGAGTTAAGAAGTCAAATATCAAAGAAAAGCAAATACTGGTAAAAAGCTAGAAAAGGCAATGATTGGTGCATCTCTAATCGGGGCGTGTCCCTGCTTCCGGTGGCCTCTACCTGAACTTGAGGAGGTGCTGGAGGTGGTTCCCGAAGACTGGGACTGCTCTAACGCGGGGCTCGTAGACACGCTACTGCTCGTATTGGTCCCCTCGTCCGCAGTCTTCTTGAAGAAGCTGTGCTGCAGGGCGTAGTAGGGCTGGATGCGACTCTTGGGGTCGTAGTCCAACATCCGAAGAATCAGGTCCTTGAACTTCAAGTAGTCAGCAACGGCGTGGCCGGACTCCCCCGCCCGCCGGCCACCTGGACCCCCTGTTTCCACACCGAGGATGGAGTGGAGCTTCCGCGAAGCTGGAGGTTTATACTGCAGAAAAATGAAAAAAATTTAATAAAAACGACGAAAATTTAAAACGCAAATATTTTTAAAATAGTTTTCAGTTCATAAGAAGAAAGTTGGCTTCACCCTTTTGCCATCTTTGGTCTTCTTAACACTCCATGTACCATCTGATAGCTTCTCAAAGAACTTCCTGGCTTTGGGGGCTAGGTCCATTATGTGATTAGGTGGGATGCCAAGAACCTCGACTATTTTGTTCATCTGGTCAACCTGGTGGGGGAAGAAAAAGATTAATTGATCATGCTATACATCATAAATCCTGAGGCAGAACATATCTAGTAATCTTTTACCTCATTGGCTCCACTAAAGAGAGGTTCTCCAGTATGCATCTCTACCAAGATGCAACCCAAGGACCACATGTCGATGGCCAGGTCGTAGGGCATTCCCAGCAGCACCTCTGGGGAACGGTAGAAGCGACTCTGGATATATTGGTAAATCTACACAGAGAAGAAAACACAATAAACAAACAAGAAGCTTTATCGCTCATCTTAATTGCCGATAAAGACGACTTGTGGCTTCGTACCCTTTGTCCCAGTTGGCATGAGCTGCCAAAGTCCACTATTTTGATGGCGCTCCTCTTGGGGTTGCAGAGGAGAATGTTCTCCGGCTTCAGGTCACAGTGGATGATGCTGAGCTCAGGCGTGGCCAGGAAGAGTAGTGCCGTGCATAGCTGCTGGGCAAACTTCCGTGTGAGGTTAAGCGAGACGCCGCGGAAGTTGGTGTTTCGGAGCAGGTCGTAGAGGTTGTACGAAAGCATCTCGAACACGAGGCAGAGGTGGTTCCGAAACATGAAGTGTCGCTTTAGGTGAACTGCGGCAAAACAAGTTAGAATTTTATTTGATTTTTCTTTTAGTAAAAGCAAAAGAAAGCCACGTTTTTGCCAGACTGGGAGTACGTACCGATGTAGTATTTCATCTCGGTGTCATGTTTGTTCATCAGCTCCAGGAGGCGCACTTCTATTTGGGCTTGGTTGAGGAAAGCCTTCTTGTTCTTGATGATCTTAATGGCGACCCATTCTTGCTCTACTCGGTCATACGCTTTTACAACCTGAGGGGGAAATGTTTTACCAAATCTTTACACTGGGCAAAAATAACCTTTTTTAAATAACTATTTTTAATCACAATCACTTTTAAACTCACCTGTCCGAATGACCCCTTTCCTATCAAGGAATCAATCTCATAACGGTCCATCCACTTCTCCCCATTCTTGACGATGTAGTCGTAGTTATCGTCGTCATAGCCATCATTAAAGACTTTCCTCTCCTTTTTGTGACTGGAGTCTTCACCCTGACCCTGTTGGTGCCGTCTCTTCTTTTTTGCATAATACACCTGAAAATTCACAGATGAACCCACATAAAAATCACACACAGAGCAAATATGACAACTGACTACGATTTAGCTTTTAAAAGTTTAGTTACAACATTGTTTCATCTGGCATTTTGCTTTATTAATCAGTCTATTTTGGGCGTGCAAATTACATTTAGAAATTCTGTCGGCTTGCATGACCATGTCAAACTGCTTACACGTTTAGATGGTAAAATCTAACAGAACTGGATGGAGTGAAACAAAAATAAGCATACTAACCTCATTGATGTGTTTGTATGTTTTGATAAGGTCAATGGAGAGCTTCCTCAGGGGAGCTGAAGTTGGGTCACGAAAGCGCTGGGGCATGTGCCTCTGGAGTGTCAAAAGTAAAAAAAAAAATAAATTAATTGATAAAAAAAAACACAACCCATTATATATATATATATATATATATAAGATAACATCACAATTATTAACTGTACATATCATTGAATTTTAAAATGAGTAATTCAGCACAACATGATCAAATTGAAGGGGACATTATTTGACAAGCTGGTACTTTTGCCTAGTGACAGAGGGAAAAAAGAGGGAAGCAGTGTTGCACGTTACAGTAAGTATGACGGTTCTACTAAGTGTTTTAAATCCAAGGGGTGCAGCAGGATGGGGTTAGGATACCTGATTGGCAGTGAGCTGTGGTGTCTGGTCGCTGTACGGTAAGACCGTAACAGATTGGTCAGTGCTTGGCTGGTGGCGGTCACTGTACTGCTGGTGCGTATGGGGCATTGGAGCAGCCATCTGAAGACCAGCAGTGTGTAAAGAAAAAGAGGGCGCAAGCCGGACGGACGAAGGTTTGCATGCTTAAGTCTCTCCTCCTGGGAGAAATTAACACTGTTAGAAGTTGCATTGATTCACACATAGAATTTATTAAAAACACAAGCAATTAAAAGAGATTCATTTACATAGGAATCAATTGCACATCATTTAGGTAGCATCAGATTTTTTTTTTGTCTACAAATAAAAGATTCTATCTTGCTGTATGGGCACAATATAAACAAAACCTTTATTTGGCTGAATGGAGCAAATATGAACAAAAATGTAAATTTATAAATTTATCTTTATGTATAAAAGACATTTACAAAATGCAGTAAAGAGCAACATTTACATATTGTTAAATTTATAAAGCCCAGACATAAGAAATACACATTAAAAGATGTGAAGAATAACAAAAGATCAGTAAATTGTTAAGATAATTGTCAATTTAATAAATAGCAATGATTTATTAAACACTTTTTTAAAAAGAAAAAAAGCATTCCAGTATAAGACAAATGTAAAATACAACAGCAATAAATCAACCTTTGTGAGGAAAAGGGAGAAAAACAGCAGGTTTAGCAGTGAGAAGGGGTGAAAACACAGCATCTCCACACTGTACAGTGAATCATCCTTCATTTTAAGCCAGAAGGAATCAAAAAATTATTAAATAGCATGTTCAGCTATCAGCATCTCTCTCCAGACAACACAATTCACCAGTGCTACACAGTAACCACTATTCAGAATCCCAGCAACAGCACCTAATTAGCATAGCCTATCACCACAGAGATACAGCGTGATTTGGCAAGCCCATCAATGCACAGACCAATCACAACGCAGTATGCAAATAGCCTACTTTTGTTGCCAGGGCAGAGCTGCTCCCATTTTCCAATGAGAAAACAAGAAATAAACAAGAAATAAAATTGAACTTTGGCACACTTAGACGTTGCTTTCAACACAAGAGCCTGACAGCAAAATAGCTGCACAGCCCAAAACCTGCACTCCATCTAAGAGCGTTAGAAAGCTGACCCAGCTATGGAAAAGCATAAAAAATAAAAAAAATAAAAAAATCCACACATCCACTGGCAGAAAGAAGAGGAACTGTAAGATGATAGACCACAGATCAGCAACGCATCTGAGAACTAGCACATACCTTTTTTTATTCCTCCTTTCCTATCCATTGTATTGTCATATTTACATTTACAAACTAGAAAATACATTTATGTTAACTCTTAAAAATTTACTAGATAAACATAGGCAGTTTAAGAAAAATAAAAACAGGGATATTTTACGAGGACGTCATCTTCAATTATTATTCTGCTTCTTAAAAACAAATTAACCTCTTCGAGCACTGTTCTTTAACTGTTATACACACACACACATATATATATATATATATATATATATATATATATATATGTATGTATGTAGATTTTTTTTCTCTGATTTAAAATTGTACTAAAATGTTGGATCAGATGCCAAATTTAAAGCAGCCGCACAAGGGGAGAAGAAAGAAATGAAATGTAACCTATGCCCCCACCAATGGGTTTAAGGTTTACCATACATCAGCTAACCTGGATGCATCTTCTGTAAAATTTCATATCATCCTGGGAGGAGAGTCCAGCAGCAAACCACAACCCACTATAAAGGATAAAAACACAAATATTACAAATATTTACTGTTCATGTTTCATCTAATTGCGCTGAAGCTAGAACTTTAGCTGAGAAAAAGGTGAGAAACGGACAGACGAAGAGGACACCCCGAAAACTTTTTTAAGTGCGCCGGGTGACAGGATTCTGTGGGAGTTCGACTGCTGAAGATACAATTCCTTATTTTTAAAAAACATATATATAAAATTGAAAAAGTGAGTTTCATGTGGTTCAAAGAGAAATGTATGTAATTAATAATAATTTTTAAAAAAGGGCATGAAGCTGTTGTAAAATAGATAAATAAATGCTGAAGAATAAATTAGTTTAGAGAAGCTCAGAGCCCTGAACAGTGGAATAGAAATTATTACTGCTGAGGGCCTAAAAGAAGGTTGCTCTCCTCTCAGTTCATATGCTATTTAAAATCTGCTATTTATGACATGAAATCATCTTAAAATAGGCAGTTGTTAGCCATAACCCCGGTGGAGCAGCTATATTTACAATATAGGTCTTTGCAAATTTACCAAGAACTGAAATATATAAACTTTGGTTTATATTTTATTTTATAAACACATCAGCTAGCATTAAACTAAGACAACTATGGGTTTCATTTTATAATAAAAAAATGTATAATAAAAGTCCAGGTTAGAGAATTGAAACAGTAATGGCAAAGAAAAGCCCTTTTTGTCAGCACACTTGTAGCTTTTTTTTTTAAGTTTCTTCTAAACGTCTGCTAGATCCTTAATGTTCAGTACTAACATATGAACAGTTCCTTTCCTGGCTCTAGTCATTACGGCATCCGCGGGCCTATTTATGTGTAAATATAACGATGGTTAGCTCGATATTAGAAGCCGAATTATGCCATAAAGAGATGGATAGAGATCCCAGCAACGAGCCTGTGTGTCATCTTCTCACGCCCAACCGATAGATCCATTCCAAAGCTGAATCAAACAGAACTCATCCTAACAATTAAAAAAAGGAAAAGAAAAAGAAAGCCCCAATGTAAATAGACGCATCCCGAATGGCTCTATACTTACAGAAGATTGGGTAGATCTCGTCATGGTTAGAATTTAGGATGCATATTCAGAGTTAATTTCCCCACCTCTCTTGCTACATATCGTTCGTGGGAGACTCGAAATCCTCAAATAGATGACAAACGGATTCGGGCTCACGTTACCGTTAGCAGACCAACTAGCTAACGTTGTCGTCGTTACCCTGAAAACTGCGGGACAGACGAGCATATCTGCTCACCAACCCGACGTTAGCTGGTGACGCTGTGTTCAAGCCAGCGGGCTGTGGGGCCCATTCAGCTGGTTCGTCAACAAGTCAACGCTGACCATTAGCCGGGTTAGCTCAATTAGAACGGTTAAACCCGAAACATACCTCCCGATATCACCAAAGTTGAGCACTGACAGCAGATCAAATCGTGTGAGGTAAGCTAACAGAGCTTCAATCATACAATGACAAGGTCTAATATAGCAGGGCTAGCAGTAACTGTGCCAGCATGACACTCCGTCCAAACTCAGACATATAACTCACAGTCAGCTGGGATGCTCCTCCCGTCCGACATTACAATCCATCCCTTGACCTACTGACTGAAAACAAACGTTAACCAGAACCGGATTCGCGAATTGTTAGCTAGCCGCCACACCAAAAAAGCTACCATTTTCAACTTCACTACCGCGTCCATCATTGTTAACCATTCACACAGCACACACATCAGAGAAAAGGCAATAAATGAACGATAAATATGCAACAGGACAGCTTGGAATTGCTCACCTCTGATGGCACGATCTTCATTTAAAGTCCAATAAACTGTATGATGAGGAAACTTATCCAGTTCGAGATTCTCCCCTCCCTGTACGGGTTAGCGAGTAAATCCAATCCCCCGTCCTCTGGCCGGCAAAAAAACTCTTAAAAAACCTCGTCAGTCATATCCTGTGAGCGCTTCATGTCCAAGGCTTTGATGACCAACATCCACGATCGAAGCAAATTTATCAAATGTTTTTATCAGCTGATGACAAGCAACATGCTAACTAGCGCTAGCTGACAAAATGAACGCAGCTAACGTTAGCCGCTTGCCCTGACTACTAGCCTGAAGCTAACGACTGTAGCTGCCGCTAAATAAACGTTACGCCAAATTCTGATTTAACGCCGTCTTTGCAGCCAATGCGTCGGTCTCTTCGACGGGCGCGACAACGCGGTTACATCCAGAGCATCCTAGTCACCAAACAGAAGCAGCGTCCTCTTATAATTTTTGGTCAGGAATTTTGTGTCAATTTTCACAAAATGGCGCGCGGTCCAAACCTGCGCAGTGAACCGGCCCGGTGGACCAGAGACACGGACAACTGAGTTAGAGCGGCGCCGCCTAATTATTCCCAACTCTGTTAAAACGTCGGCCTCTCGATCTTCTTAATCCGTTTCAGTAAACGCGTTTCGAAATCCGAAAACTTGAAACATATATCCACTGACAGCATTATTCCGGCGGGAAGGGAGAACATTTGAAAAAGACTGAGCTGGGGGGGGAAAAAAGCCTCCTGACAAAATGGCGATGCTCTAGCTTGTTGCCATGGCAACTGTCAATCAAAAAAAAAAAATGAGGACCCGGATGTACCAATGACGAATAAATTCTGAGCTGGCCAGCGTTACAGCGCTCACACACACGAACTGAGGAAGACTCTACAAATAATAGAAATGAAGAAATAATGATGATAATAACATTGTTGTGGAATATATTCTACTGTTCTTTTTATTGAAAATGTTAAATAAAAATAAAATGTGGTGTTAAGTGAAGTGAGATAGGACTTTCTAGGTCCATATAATTATAATCATGCTTGAAAATCAGTTGAATAAAAAAAACATAATACGTGAAACTGAGAATTGTATATATACATAAAAATTAATAACTGCTTTCATTAATTTTTATTTTCGTTTATTTTGTCTTCAAATTTGTGATGTTTAAAAAAGAATATGTGTATGTACTGTGGTGTGAAAAAGTCTTTGACCCCTTCCTAATTTCCTTATTTTTCAGATGTTTGTCACATCTCAGTGTTTCAGAATAATTGAAACTATTAAATATTAGTCAAAGACAACACTGGCAAACACAAAATGCAGTTTTTAAATGAAGATGTTTGTCATTAAGGAAGAAAAAGAAATCTAAATCAATGGCCTTGTATGAAAAAGTAACTGCCACCTGAACCTAATAACTGACTGGGCCACCTTTAGCAGTAACAAATTTAATTCAAATTTAAATTCAAATTCAAAAAAATACTTTATTAAATGTTGCTTTAACTTATTTCAAGGTTCTTTAACAACTGCAATAAAATGTTTGTGACAACTGTTGGCCCACTTTCCAGAATTGTGGAATTCAATCACATCGGAGGGTTTTCGGGCATGAACTGCATTTTTAAAGGTGACTAGGCCAGTCCAAAATCTTTATTTTATTTTTCTCCAGTCATTCAGAGGTGGACTTCCTGGTGTGTTTTGGATCATTGTCCTGCTGCAGAACCCAAGTTGGTTTCAGCTTGAGGTCACGAACAGATGGCCCAACATTCTCCTTCAGGATTTTTTTGGTAGACAGCAGAATCCATGGATCCATTTATCACAGCAAATCTTTCGGTTCCTAAAGCAGGAAAACATCCCCAGACCGTCACTTTTACTGTGAGTACGATGTAGCTTTTTCTGAAATGAGGTGCTACTTCTACCCCGGAGCTTGTAGGACACGCACCTTCCAAAAGAGTTCAGTTTTAGTCTTATCAGTCTACAGAATGCTTTCCCAAAAAGTCTTGGGAATCATCAAGATGTGTCCTGGAAAAAATAAGACGCGTTTTACTGTTGTTTTTGCTCAGCAGCGGTTTTCATCTTGCAACCATTTTTCTCCCGTCTATACGGTCAAAGAATGGACACTACTCAGTGAGAACTGCAGTGAGGCCTGCAGTTCTTTGGAGTCATTGTTGCTACACTCTTGGTAAATATGTTATATATATGGTTTATAATTAAGATTAAAGGAAAGTATTTTATTATATGAACAGAAGTGAAGCAAGTCCCATGCCAGGTCCATGCAATTACGATACGACACAAAACCAAAAAAATAACAACAAAAAAAAAGAAAATCTAGTTGTTCAGAATATATTCAAATGACTTGTAAATAAAAATCAGCACTCATTCAGGCTTTATAAAATTTATTAGGAAAGATAAAATAATAGCGAAGTTTTGTTTTACTTTCATCGTATTGGTAATTTTTTTTGTATCAACATCTCCAAGACAGAACACATCCAAGGTCAAAACATCTACAAGAGAATATCATGTAATTTTTTTAAAAGCAGGTAATGCTGACAATTTATTTATTTATTTTTCCTGCTTTAATGATAAATACTAAATGTTGAAATCAAAGTCAAAATGTTGAGAATTTCATCAGCTGTTGTTATAAACAAAAGTAATGAACAGCGCATCTTGGCTCCAGTTCGTTACTTGAACTGTATTGTTTAAAAAAAAAGTTAAAATTTTCATAAAATATTAAGAATCAATTCTATTACCAGACTGGTAAGATCAAAATAATAACATAAAAAATTAAATCAATTAAATGTCAAGAAAAATGTAAAATTATTCATGAATGTGGGTGGGCAGCATAGTGGGGAAAACAATTTACTCAACTGTAATCAATTTAATATACTTTAGCTCAAGTAGAAACCAAAATTTATAATTAAAAAAATCGACTCAAGTCAGAGTAAAAGCAAGAACAGGACGAATCAGCTGATCTGGAAGGCAAGTTCCACCTGTGGCAGCAGTACCAGCCAGGGATCAGTAGGTGGCAGAAGTGAGTAATGCTCCTTAAGCTGAGCTCTGGACATTTTTCCAGAGAAGAACCTGATTCCCTCCAAGATGCAGAACAAAACACTAGTCGCTAATTTAAGCTAGCAGCAATTATTTTCTATAAGCAGTGATGACCTTAATATTTCATTCACTCATTTATCTTGATTTATTATTACTTACCATCAAGTGCACAGATGGACACTAAAGCATGTATTTTCCAGCCATTGCATAGAACAATCACTATGTTAGCTTTAGTTGTTATGAACAATCTGTATATATGAGCACAAATTTGGCTTCGCAATTTGACTCCTTGAAATTGGGCCTCTGTCTCCTTAAGAAGCTCCCACTCTTTCTGAAACTCCGCCTTCAGGAAGTCGACACAGCAATGCTTCTCATTATGCCCTTTACAACTGTTCTTAGGAGTGTTGGACTGAGATGTAGCTTGTATGATGAACTCAGCAGCTGAGCAGTTCAATCAGGTGTTTGCTACTTGCTGCTGCCGCTAGTCTGGAGGAGCTGAATGGGGGAGGTGCAGGGGAGGGAAATAGGTGGGGATTTGGGATTTGTGGAACCAATCGTTTTGGCACCCCTTATTGGCTGCCGCAAGAGATTTAAGGATTTCTCAAACATGCATTTATTATAAGCAACACTCCAGGTATGTTTTTTTTTTTTTGATGAGGGAATAACAATATAACATGATATAAAGCTCAAAATGTTGATTTTACATAATACCTCCCTTTAAGACTTTAATTTCTAAGTGTCAATTGTCAATTTAAAAGGATTTGGTGTTAGGTCCCAGTCCACCCTCATTGAAAATTAGACTTAACAAAACTATTGTCAGATGAAAATAGGGGACCGTCAATGGTGCAAAATCAATTAATGCATCTGCAAAATCTTAAACAGAAACAAGTGCTTTGCTAAATAATTAAAAAAAAAAAAATATATATATATATATATATATACACTTTTTGAGATTTTTTTCAGTTTAGTCATGATTTTAAACTTACCCAAAATAGTGCAAAATTGCAAGGTGAATATTTCACAGAGATCATCTAGTGTAAATTCTAGTGTTCTGTGAAGGCATCTGAAGTTCATAAGAAAAGTGAAGTCTGGAGAAGCTTAAAGCAGATTTAGGTTATAAAACAAGATCCTAAGCTTTGGCGTCTCTCAGAAGTCTGTCTGTCTGACTGCTATCTGAAAATGGAAAGAATATGACACAACTGTAAACCCAGTAAGACATGGCTGTTCCAAACTGACAGGCCGTCTAAAAGCAGCATTATCAGAGGACATGGTAGCTCCACAGCAGAGCCTGCAGGTATCCACGGCTCAGTAAAGTATAAATTTTTTAATGTAGCCCCATGAAGTTTAGAGCGTGCTACTCTTTAAAGACAAGACTTTGACTTAGAAGGATTATTTTATGGTGAAGTTGGTACTAAAACCCAAATAAGATGCGGGGTCATGAAATTGAATAGACTTTTACTGTCCGACAACCCTCTTGTCTGGGAAAAAAAACAATAACAAAAAAACAATCCCGCCAAGAAAGGTTAAATTCTTCAACACTGATGAACAAGACTCATTGTCAATTTAAGGTGTGCAACCAGTTAATAATGCTTTATCCTAATAAATGAAACAATCAATTAAAATATGCATTTTGTGTTTACTCAGTTGATCTTTGTCTGGTATTAAAAGTGTGTAAGAAAAATATTTTTTTACTTCTACACATATCAGATGATTTTTTTTAATGTCTGTTCACTTAGGTGATAATTCAAGCTGTTCCCTTTGTTACGTTTCGCCAGGAGGAAAAATAACTTATTTACTGACTATTGTCTCCCAGGTGGTCTTTGTTAAGCAGCCTTGATGAACAGACGTGTTTTTATTTCTGCTTCAAATCAACAACACTATTTGTTATTTCTTCTTTGACATGTTCATCTTCAGATTTTATTTAATCTGTGAAAAACTTTTGCTTTCTTCTCTTTAAATCCGTAAAGATGCACATGTAATAAACGATTTTGGTGCTCTGAATGAAAATTCTTCATTCGACTTTCTCTTTAATTTTAATCCTTCACAACCTAAAGCAGCATCTATTTGACTTTCCATAGCAGTTGTGTTACATTGTGTGGGGTTTTATACACCACTAATTTCCCAAATGGAGCTACTGTGACTGTACCAGCTGATTTATAAAAAGTAGTTGTTGTTGGGTTTTTTTGTTTGTTTCTAACGGTCAAATTTTATTAGGTTAAAACACTTGAATAACACATTCTAGATTATGCTTAACTTACTTTAAACAAATTTACAATGAGCATGTTACAGGAAAGTGTTCCATCTAAAGAGTTAAAATGGAAAATATCCAAGTCATGTGACATATCTGTCACAATAACAAGACATACAAGAAGATGCTTGAATCATACTGATAGCATTTTAGTTGTCTTTTTGTGTTTCATTGGTCTGACACACATTTGAACTGATTTGAATAATAAAAAGTTGAAAGGATGTCTTTATACAAGAGCAAAAAAAAATCACTTGAGCTTTAACTGTTATAAAATATGGGCAGGTTTGTTTCTTTGAACGTGCATTTAAATTTTTCCACAAAAAAGAAAAAAGAAAAAAATCCCAGTAAAAGGTCTCAAAGTAAATAACAACATGACAACGACTAACAATGATAACAAGTAATACAAGCGAACTAAATAAAATTTTCAGCCAAACACAACACAACATCCAATACAAAACGCACTAATACAAAGTAAAATGT